GCATGGCCCATCGACTGGCTGAATGGGTTTACCACTTCAAGTCGTTTTGTCATACCAATGCTAAGAAAACAGAACGATCAAACGAGATATTTAGAAGCCTATAGGGCTATTACTTAGCACACCAAACAAACAACGGACACGATAAGTTCGAATTGAAGTCATGCACTGGGAAGAATAAGGAGAAACGCACAAGTGATCTCCAAACCACCTGTTTGATTTTTTGATATGAGAGCAATCTGCTATGGATATATCAAGACAATTAGTCTGAACAGAAAGTGGCATTACTTTTCAACCGTTTTAATTTAGAAAAGAGGGGTGTGCGATAGACTTACCTCCACGTGGTGCACCCTGGGCAACGTATACTCATACGGCAAAAAAGTCTATTAATCAGCATTTGACTTCTGACTTCAAAATACCATGGCCCGACTGCTTGTCATATTCGACCCCTTCCACAGTACTCATCTTACCTTTTCCCTACCTTTGTGTCTGTCTGCCTCTTTTTCATCTGTGAATTGCCCTTCTGTTCCCCGCCCCTCGACTTTCTGCTACTTTGATGAACCTTCTCTCTGTGAAACTCGAAGTCAGCTAAATGTTTATTGATAGCTATCAAAACGCCTGCTATTTGAAATAAATAAATAATTTCGAAAAGAAATAAGCTTAGAGGCCGTGTTCTTCAGATCTCCAATTACTACAAAGTGACCAAGATAAAAGTAAATTAATACTATTTTTACTTAAAAGCAGTAAATACAAAGTATTGCGTGACCCCACACAGGTGTCCAATATTACTTTCGTAGGATGTTGGACATAGAGACCATTTATCTTGGCCACACTCCAGCTTTATAGGGTCTGAGTTAACTTTGGCATAATAATATTAGAATAGAGACTAATCGTTGCTTATCATTTGCGCTAAATATTTCTTTTTAAAAAGAGCTTATTTAAAGGTTTTAGAACGTAATAGGTGAACCGTTCACTCAATCCAATCAACTGATGAATGAGCTCAAAATATATTGGGGCCAAGACCTCCAGATTTTTTTTACAACAATTTAGTCTTTTACAGGATTGATTTATCCCTTCCTTTATTCCTGTGTGTGCACTTTCTCACTAGAAATGGTGGCTTCGCCATGAGTGATGCAAAAATGGACCTGCAGTAAATGGTCGCTCTTTAAATTGGAGTTTTCAGTCTCATGAGGAGTAAGGAGCAATTGTGGGCTTTACAACGTAAGAAATATGCGGGGGGGGGATACAATATCGCGGGTTCAAAAGGCACAGCAACTCATCGGTAATCAGTCACCCAGGTAGAAGCCGTAAATTCAGAAAAATAGGGGTGGGGGGAAGTAATTTAACAAGTTGGTCCTAAATTGTTGGCTATTTGATAAATCTTCCTTTTCTTCCATTTCTTACAAGGGCGTTAAATAAAAAAAACCTGAAATAGGTACTAGTTGGAGGTATTAAATCTCAAAATGTTGGAGAAAACGAAGCTGAGATTTGTCGCTTTGATGATGGCTTGGCTATGGGAAAAAAATATATTTTGGCGTTTCTAGGACTAATACATTTAATTAACTTTTGCATTTGATCAAAACAATGCCAGAATTATTAAAAACATGCGTTGAATGGTGAGCGAATACGATCTGCTCCCACCAAAAGTTTTTTTTAGGTTAGAGGAAAATTCTTAGCCTTAACAATCATTAAGGAACCCTCATTATTTTAAATCAAAACAAATGTAAGAGCAAAATGAATTACAGAATTTTTGAAAAGCAATTCATGAGCTTCCTAAAAACGAGTCAATGTTTGCAATAATCCTGAGCAAATTTATCACATACTTATCTGGGTATCTAGACGAACGACCTTCAGACTAAATAAAATGCTTGCGTAATACGGCATCAGTTAAATGCCTTCAAAGGCATCACAATAATAGCCATTTGTCAGGTGAAAATGAGACAAATTTCAATGCAAAAAAGATCCCGGAGCGAGACAATAAACTTCATGACAAAGAAGTGTTTAGGAAGGACACAATCTAGCGATCTTGCTATTCAACACTATAAGCAGGTTCAAAGCAACAAAGCAGAAGCTGTTATTACCGTCATTTAAAAGACAGCAATTAGATTATCACTCATTTTTCCAACAGAATAAGGCCAAAGGAAGTCAGTCTCGGTTATTAAATTATTAGGGAAGTAAAAGGAAGTTTTAGAAGTCTAGAGGGAATAGGTTTAGAAAGCAAAAGACAGAATATGCTTCCATGTTTGCCATTCTATTTCGTTACTTTCATATGCACGGCGTATTGTTGGATAAAATTATTTAATAATTAATAACATTTACACAGTTATGCTAAATTGCCTTGCATAATTTTTACATAAAGTCGATCATTAAGTTCTTGTAAGTTTTGGACCTTGGAGCATGTTTATAAAGCTTATAGGACTAGTTCAGAGGTTAATTATTTCCACTGATGCATTTACAGATATTGCATTAATGAAGCTCAAATAGTCAATACGGTCATATAATAACTGCTGAAAAATATTGAGAAATACGATTAAAATAACCAAAAATAACGAATTTTATTTTGGCCAATCGTGACTGATTAGGTAGACACACAATATAAAACTAGCGTCTGGAGTGTCGATCAGGCTCAAAAATAGATGTATCTAAAAGGAGAATCTATCAAGTGGTCCGAAACACCGAGATCCGCACTCTGCGACACCAGACTTCAAACAAAAACAAATAATTATTTCCACCTCACCTCTGTTATTCCGATCAAGTCCGAATAAGCGAAACACCAAAAAAAACAAATTTACAAAATCTCCGCGTATTATTAAGTTAAACTTACCGTGTTACCGAGATTCATCAGTCCAATGAGTCCGGCATTTCCAGAATTGTTGGATCGATTCGAAGAAGGGAGAGTGGAATTAAAGCCTGAATGTCCCCCATGAAGCCTCGGGCCAGGAGATGTTGCTGAATATTCACCAGCTGAGGAAGTAGACGAAGTGGATGTTCGTAGGGAGTACATGTTATTAACATTCCCATCAAGTTTTGAATATGAGCCGTAACCTGGATGGTCTGGAGAGTTGAGATTAGCAGAATCTGGCGAATCTAGCCCACGACTACGAGGCTTAGGCATTGGCTTTATATATGCCTCGTCTTTGCTCACTTCCTCTATTTCTTGATGACGTGGTTTACGTGGACGGATCTCAGCTGCGCAGACCAACAGAAACATAAAATTAATTAAGTGGATTGATATGGGGACGAGATGCAAGCCTTAGATTTCACAAATCATTTTTTTCTATCGCGAATGCCATTGATTACACGGAAAGCAATAAAAACCTTTAAATCTACGCTTCACGCGATGAAACCTAGTCTCGGAGATAGTTTTACCTGAACAATGAACAAAAATGTATCCTGATTACTGAAAAAAACCAACACTACAAATGAAATGGATATTCAATACTGAATAATTTGAGAACGCGAAGGATATCAACTAACACAATTTTAATTGAAATTTTAGACGCTCAGAGTAACAGTTAACAGTGTGTACTAGAATATTTCTGGGTTAAATACACTAAATGAAGCCCAAAGAAAACCGAGAAATTCAACAAATGCACAATTTGTAAGAAAATACAGATAGGGAACGTAGAATCAGAGCTTAGTAACATAACCAAATAAACGTCTAAGGTACAGTAATTATATCCTGAAGAATAAAGACATATTAAGGTTTGAGCAAATTTGTCCGATCTGTTTGAAAAGAAAAATTGTGAATTGTGAAAAGTTCCATAGTCGCCAGAAGAAAGAAGAGGGGGGAGGGTTATATGCTTCTATGGCAGTTTATAATATTATAGATAAACACATTGAAATATTAAACCTCAAGTACATATGAGGCATTATTTTCCATCAATTTCCAATAATGAGAAGACAAAAAAGTATTGACTATATCTACACATTTCATTTTACTTTTATCAGAAATGCATTTTGGTCAGGGCCCCAGGAAAAAATGTCTGCATGACTTGATACACCTACGCAAGACCCACGCGTTTCAGAGGAAGTAAACTGGTAATAAAAATATCCGTTGGCAAATTCCATCTGTTCCCGGCATGCCCAAAAAGACCCAATAATATTTAGAGAATAACAAAGCGAAAGTTAAGAGACAAGGTTACAACAATTAAATTCTGAAAAAACGATATAATATAGCAAATTTAAAGGCAAGCAATATACACAAAATAGTTTGCACTATGTGCCAGTTTAATTGCTTAGCTATAATTATACAAAGTAATGGCAACACAATGGTCAGTAAGTTGGACTACAGTAGCTGAACATTTAAGAAATAGTAAGACCAATTTAATTTTTTGAAACTAATAAAGAGAAATGAATAAGCACGGTAATTATCTTCGAAAATTCCCTATTTCAATAGAGAAGATATGGGCTATCACAACGAACATAATAAAGTTTGTTCGAGACGATCCCTCTCACAAAACCAAATGTACGAAGTATATATGAAAAACACAATATACGATGACTTCCTTCCAATAGAGTATAAAGTTTTATATACCTAGCAGTCAATAAGTTACAAAGTGATAAATCAGATAATCTCATGTCCTTAATTTCCCAATATACGCGTAGACATAAGCAGAAAATAGCTAATTCATAAAAAGAAAAATAATAATAAAGTAAAATGACCTAATCTAAAATCTTCCAAATTGTTCACTTAAATATTTTAATTTGGTAAAGAAACGTCGATATCTTTAAATTGATCATTTCCACATTGTTGGCGATTCAAATCCAGAGATCAAATATTCAGAGCTTACCAGAAGTAGAGGCAAGCGCATAGACTCCACTACTAGTCGCTCTATTATAAATTGGCGGTGAACGCGTAGACAAACGAGTAAAGCTCCCCGAGAGTTGCGAATCCAATCTCTTGGTGGTGGTAAGAGCTTCGCGGCGACACGAAGAAGATAAAGAAGTTGGCGTATAGACACATTTACTGCCGTTGCCATAGGTACCGCGATCAGTATGACTCTGATATGAAGTGGTAGGATTGTGCGTGGGGTAATCTGAGTAAATAAGTCGGGATGTAGAGCTAGATCTAGGGAGATTTCCAGAGATTCGATAACGATTAGCGGATGTTGAAGGCGTGGAGGAGTAGCATGGTTTGGTAGAATGGATATTTCGATAGTGCGTGGGCTGACTTTGGGGAATAGGTGGACGGGAGAAGCAATCTCTTGAATTTGAAACCGGACTAATCAATTCATAGTTTTGATAATAAGATGAATTGTAACGGTGTTTATTGTCTGAAGCACGGTAGGGATCCACAGATGTTGCCCTATAATGATTAGGTGGACGAGAGGAACAATTCCTCAAGGGATCAGGATAGATAACGTCACGACGACGCGTGTAATCAAATTGAGGGGTATTCATTCGCCTGATGTGGCGAAGTTACTAAAACTAAGACATAATAGGATCAACATAAAGTGCTTAAAGTTACATTCTTACAGAATAAAAGTTACAAAAGGCACCAATAAAATGTATTTAAAAAAGGTAAATTAACAGTAAGTTCGTCTAAATAAATAAAATAAAGACGTTCATTGTAAATATAAACCAAATAGAGAGTTCAAAAATAATTCCTAAAAATACTAATCAAAAATCAAAATCTATGCTAATCTCTGACCTGATAAAAGGTCCTCAAGAAAATAGCAAAATGATTCCAAAAATGCCTGCAAATCTAAAAGAACAATGTCAGCTGAGAAGACGCGAAAGTACACACTAAAGATAAACGTTGAAATATATCCTGAACAATACAAAAATCACGATTTCAGAAACATGACGAAATATTAACATACAACGTTAGAAAAAGAAACTTCACATGGACAAAAAGCTAATTTTACATTCGAAATAGGATATAATAAAAAACAAGTCAAAAAGACCAAAGATAGAAATAAAAAAGAGACAATAGAAAATAGTAATAGGTCATATGTTAAAAATAGATTCCATCAGTGAATTTTGACATCATGAGAACAAAATACATCGTGCAGTGCAGTGAAACTAAAAGTGTACATTTTTAAAGTTATATGTACATAACTGAAAATACTTTCGCCCAAAAATAGAAGAAAAGAAACATCAAAACCATTTATCTGTGAATTGCAAGAATACTTGAATTACAATAAAGAGTTAATGCTAAGGCGATTAAATTTCGAAATTCCAGATGAAATTTAAATAAACAGCTTATAAGAATTATATAAATTTGGGCAACTCAATTTACTAAGAAGCATTGAAACAAGATAAGAAAACAAAGAAGCATGAATAAACATATTAGTCATAATAACGTTGCCAAAATAAAAAGACTTACATCTGATAGTTCATTTGCTCTAGCCATTTGAAATATCGCGTAAAGAACTATAACAACTGCAAACTTAAACACTAAAATAATTAACAGTAGTGTGTTATTTATTTTATTGATAAATAAATATTATATAACACAAAAATATACTTTTAATATGACTTATTAGTTATTTACTTTTTGACAGGCGCACTATATGTACATAGTGGAAACATGTTAGGAGCCTTAAGGAACCCTCCTAAAGTAGTTACTGTTAGAGGTACTGTTGCTCGCAGCTTATCATTTTTCTTTTAGTTAATAAAGCTGTGGGCTTACGGAATACATATCTGGAAGGGAAGAAACGTGAGTATTCTGGATTTGATATTACTGTTTATAGATCGGAAGGATAACTATAAATGGAAAGTTAAAATAAAGGGTGGAAAGAAGACATTGGAATCTTACACTGTCAATGATGCTAACGGCAATCCTGTTTGGGATTTTGAAGCCACTTTGTAAAATAAGAGTTATCTTATATTTTTTAGTGAGATTGTAGATGTTAGTTTGCCGGTCGTTATCAAAATTACTGACTCTGACGATCATGATGTGGGTCAGGTTGTTATTCCACTTGTTAAAATTCCGCCACGTCCGGTAAATTCTTCAACTAAACCTATGAATGAGAGTAACATTCGAATCAATGAGTTGGAACCTACAAGGAAAGTCTCTGAGGTCTATGGTAAAATATACTACTGGATTTGGGCTGAATCGTTCTATGAGGAAGGTGGACCTGAAAAATCGTCGAGGGGATCGATTATTAATCTTGATAAGGTTCATAGAAGTGCCTCCAGGCTATCTTCGTATGGTTTTAATTTTTTCTAAGTTATTCTCTATATAGGCATCTTCATCGTCATAGGGACAGAGATGATGGCGCTTCTGTTGCCGGAAGTCAATTGAGCATGTATTCAACCACAAGCCAAAAGAAAAAGTGGTACAAACAGAATCCGATTAAGAAAATCAAAGATAAGCACAGCAGTGGTGCCTCTCATCTTAGTAGCAGTATTAGGCATGGTGGAGGAAGTGAACTTGGTTATAGTATGTCTCAATCGATGAACTCTCTCTTCCCTCAGGAGCATGGTAATTTAGCAAATGATGTTTGATAACTCATAATCAGTAGATGGCTCTATTTTAGGCGGTGATGCTGGTTGTGGTCATTCGGGAAATGAAAGCGAAATTTTCGGTGGAAGTAATGTCGGTTCTTCTGGAGCCTATTTCAATGTGCCAACCGCTGGTGGGTTAGATTTTAATATCACTTTATTCCCTGATCTCTTATTTAGAAAATCCATTTCCAAGAGTGGGTAGTCCAAGGCGACTTAGTAGAGTCCGATCACCTTCATATGAACTTAATTCTGAGACGTCAAGTAGACATGAGCCATCGCAACCACTTAATCGTAATAATTTGGCTCATTCACCACTTGCGTCATCTGATGAAGGTGAAGACACCCATGGCCAGCTGTTCCCCGCTGCAATTCCCCAATCTGCTAATTCATTTGAAGATTCTCCAACTCTTATTAGTGTTTCACCATCTACTGGCTCTCAAAGTGGTTAGTTTTCTATACACCTATGTAATCATTACTCCTTTAAGCTGAAACGGAAGTTCACATTTATGGAAAGAATCTCAATTCGCGTATAATGCGGCATGCTGTTTTGTTAGTGGATGATTACACAGTGGCAAATTATAAGTGGAGCGTGACGGAGGGATCTTGGACTGAAGAACCACAGGCAACGCATAGAATAACAGCCAAAGTCCCACCTAAAAAAGATGCCATTGTGTCGGAAAAAGTTTGGATTGATGTTGAAACTATGGCGCATGGACGTCTTCACTGTCCAATTCCATTTGTCTACAACGTAAATGAAAAATCTCATCCTTCCAATGGACCACCTGCCAAATTACCAGAAACAACGTTTATCCGTAATTCTAGTATTCGTCTTTCTGATAATCGTGTTAGAAGAAGTATTCGCAAAGCCCCTGAAGGTAAATAATTTCTTCATTCCATTGATACTGGTGAAACAACTAATTTTATTTTCAGCTACGCCATTGAAAGCTATTAGTCCGCCAACTGTCGAGGGTAGTGGTTTGGTCAGGAATTCAAGCATTCGTCTTTCTGATACGCGTAGACATAGAGGAGACCGAAGCACGAAGCCAGCACAAACGGCCTTACCACCGACCAATGAGATCCCTATAAGTAGTGAAAATCGATCATCGGGTCTGGGTTCAGAAGCCTCATTTAGTGAATCCAATCCTCCACTTTCTTCTATTTCCACGACTCTAACTTCAATTGAGGGTGAGGAGCGATTTCGTAATTCCATGCTATCTTTTATTAAATCAACCTGACAGACAATTATATATGCAGGCGAGTGAATTTACTAATTAAGCTCATCTAATGGGTCAAAGTGTGCATACTTTGAGTTAGTATTGTCTGTATTTTATTTGGAAAAGTAAACAGTTAAATTACCCTTTTTCCTTTTTCCATTGGCTCCTTAAATGGTACCAGTTCTAACATATTTCACCTTTTAATTCGGGAGCTTAAATTTGAGTAGGGAAATAACTTACTCACGTGTTTTTTTGGTAAACTTCTTGTAAATCAGCATAAAAATCACATCAACTGGTTATTTTTACGATAAACACAAAAATTTAACCGTTATCAGATCTTCATTCAAGCACTTGATCAAGTTACCCTACCTATACGAATTATGTTGTTGAACTACTTGGTTAAATATAATCAAGACAACGTATAAAATTATTCAGCAATGAAAGGCACAAATTTATTTGAAATGTCATCTTCCAATCTTTAAGTACTACTTTGCTATCGATTATTCTTTTCCTGATTGAAACTCAGCTTTCAATAAAGATTTTCCGTCAATTGGTGATTCCCTGTTCGTTGAAGTTTAATTTGCTTTGACTCAGTAATTTAAAATTCTTTTAGACTACTTGTTTGCCTTTTTTCTAAAATTACATAACTTTACAATTTGCGTAACGTTTACAGATGCTTAATAGGTTTCCTTTGGCTTTCTTAGAGAATTAGCTCGATACTTTCTCTGAAATCGACTGACACCCAAATAACATATTACCATTGTTTTCACACCTTTAAATATGGTTATAAAAAATTATCCATGGTTCTAAGCGATGTTTTAGTTGATTCGATACAAATTCGCAATTGTCTTCCTTGATTTTCCCTATTTCAATTACAACTCAATTCGAGAATAATCTATTTCGAGTCATATAAACTTTTTATTTGTACTAGAAAAGTATTTCTTCGGGTGCAGAAAAGCTCAATAGAAATATAATTACCAGAAAGATTGATTCACTGTGAATTTGTGTCGTGTAAAGTCCAGGAGATGGTGTAAATATTAAATTTATTGTCTAAAGTGTTGGTTTGTATTTGATTTCTTTCAGACTTAAACGTAGGCTCGTTAGCCGATGCAACTGCTGTGATATCCAAACTTAAAGGCGAAGTGACCGAGTTAACGTCTGAGTTATCTCGCAAATCTGAGGATATTGATCGAGTCAGTGCTGATCTCTGTCGTTTGAGGATTCGTCTTCTTGAAGACGGAATGTATAAGTACCTCGAGAAGGTTTAGATTACTCTTGAATCCTCGTTTTATTTCTATCCCTATCTTTCCTCCCTATCGAAAAAGATTACTTCCTTAACTTTTATCATCCTCCCTCTTTGATACAAATTCATTTGTAATTCGCTTAAGATTGGAAGTAAATTACTAAACTTGATATATCTTTCCTCTTCTGAGATTCATAAAATTAATTTCTGGAAGTTTGTGTTGATCTTCAAGGTTCTATAAAAATGTCCTTTAAATTTGTCTGAGATGGGCCACCTTCAATTGATTTACACTAATTAAACACTCCCGGCTGTCCACGTTACTTATATAACACGTTCTAGTATCGGGTTAAGCTAAATAAATTGATTAAACTCCGGATACATTTATTAAATTGATAGGGGGTGCACCCTGGGCAACGTATTTTTATACGACAAAAGTCTATTAACCGGCGGTTGACTACTCACCCCAAACTACCATAACCCGATTGTATGTCATATTCGACCCCTTTCGCAGTTCTCATCTTACCTTTTCTCTGCCTCTGTGTCTGTTCTGTCTCTTTTGCATCTTTGAATTACTCTTCTGTTCCCTCTCTCCACTTTTTCTCACTTTGATGTTCTTCTCCTCTGTGAAGCCTGAAGTCAGCTAAAGGGTTCATGATAAGTATTATGAATCCCGCCATTTGAAATAAATTAAATTGATGGTGGTTCAACATGATTATAGTGGGTTAAGTATGAAAGATAAAACCCACGTTGATAAAAGAACTTGATGAAGATGCAAAATACAGTTTGATGTTTCGGCACATAATGCAAATTTGTAGATAGTTGAGTTCGAAATATAAGTCAGGAAATATTCATTTTGAGACATATCAAACAAATATATGCTTTGAAGAGCCCAAACCTTGGCATATTCCTCATTTAATGTCAAAGGAGACTCATTTATTCCTACCAACGCTTTTAATATTTATTTTAGTAAGTTCAACTTTGAGAAGAATCTATTCCCATTTCTTTGCTAATTCACAATATGGTCAATGCCGAAGATATAATAGTTTTGAGGTCTTAACTGAGATCTTGAGGCTCAATTCTTAATTTTTCATCACAGCTTTTCAAGTTATCAAGACTAGCTGTCATGGTGATATGCCATTGGTAATCACTGTGCCAAAATTTAAGCTAAATCTGTGTTCTTCATTAAGGTCTGATTTGAATTACAGATAAGGCTTATTTCTTAAGTGTCGTTGTTTCTCAACTCATTAATGCTGTTGAGTTTGAATTATTCCTTGTGAAAAAAATTGAATATTGCATGTGAAGCCCTACCTTGAAACGAGTTAATATACAGCAATCATTGTCAGCATACAAATATGAGAAATCAAAGGTCATAAATGCACGTACAATGACTTGTTGACTAACGCTGTTAGTAAGTTCTGGTTACTATTAATGGCAGTGGAACACGATTTATTCATCAGAGATCATTTAAGATACCTCGCCTCAAACAAAGTTAAGTATTGTGAACGCCTCCCTTATTGGATTTCAGAAGTTTTTATGATATTGAGTCCATTCAAGAGTTGCGCTATCATTTATGAGAATAATTACGGTAAGGTAAATTGGCCATTTTTTCTTATCCTATTCCAAGTTAGTCCATTCAAATTGCCATGGAACTCTTTTGTCATTTATTTATATTTTAATTGTACTATTCTGTCTACTCTGTTGTTTTTAACTTTGGAGCTCTTTTAAAGGTCTACTTTTCATTCTTAATCTTGAAAATATTAGATAATGTTCATAAGATTAATGTAACATTGATTTTTTTATCACAAAATTATAATTGTGGTTTAAAATAAGTCATCTTTCAAAAGTTAAGTAGCATGCGGTCAATGGCGTAATTAACGCTCGAAAGTTCTACGTATACAATACAATATCAATTAGAAATCATCACTAAAGCTAGATTTTAGCAATCGTTCTGCGAAGGTATTGAAGTGCCGATAATGAAGTTTTTACGAGTTCCGAAAGGAATTTTCGAGAAAATGTAACTTTATAAACTGTAGAAGAGCTTATTCGAAATGAGCCTTCCAATGTGAAACTGGCAATCCTTTAGTCCTGCTATTGTTCACACCGTAAAAAATACTTTAGGTACATTACAATCGAAATCGAACGAAATAGAGGACTAACTGGAATGAAACATGGGGCTAATAATTGATAATGCCACATGTAACTACTTCAGTGACACCACCAAAAGAACCTGAATCGCCAAAGACATCGGAGAGGAGATATGTTGGAAATTCAAGTTTTTCTCTTTCAGACACAATGGTTCAATACAGTTTGCTTGAATCAGCAAAGGCCGAAAGTGAAAAACCAAAAGAGCCATCACAAATTGAAGTACTTGCTTCTCACGCTATTAAGAAAAAGCTACCTTTCCACATCTCCATTAGGTACTTAGGGAAATTGCCATTTCATTATTGCTATTTGTGAACAGAGGATAGTGCATCCCTAACAACGCGATTTTCGCGAATTTTCACAAATTAAAAGTAGGAACGCCGAAAATGCCACAAAAACTATACGTATTATTGTGTCAAGTAGTAAATTGGCTGAAATTAAGGTTTAGTTCTGAATTCATGTTCTTTAAGAAAAAAAATTGGTGTTTTCAACGGATACTTCAATTTTGTTTAACACTGCTTATGAATGTACGTAGTGGGTGTTTAAGTGTTGCTGGAAACAAATATATATCGGTTCTACTTGTTTTTATTTCAGTTACCGCTCCCGGTGCATCGGAACCACCAAAAGAAGAGAAAACTAGTTTCGTCAGGAATTCAAGCATCCGTTTATCCGATACAAGATCTCGTCGCAGCATTAAGGGAAATAAACCCTCTACTGAACACTCTAGAGAAGCTGACACTTCTGCATCTACAATAACATCCTCTATTAGACTTGATGAAAGTGCGTACAATCTTAAAGTGATTAACCATGGAGAAACATGATAAGTTTTCTACTTAACTACATTTTAGCGACCCTATCGGAGACATCCGAACCTATAAAGCCAGAAAATGGCAGATTTATCAGGAATTCAAACATTCGGCTTTCAGACACGAGGGTTCGTCGAAGTATTAGGGAAAATAAATCGGATGTCGTTAAGGGATCATCCATTACTAAAGCTGGTTTTATCGCTGCGGCATCGGTGGCAGAAGATGAAGGTACTTTTTACAGCTTATTTTAACCTCGGTCACATTTTGAGAAATGGCAGCATTTCCATGCATGTATTAGGCTTAAATTTTATTGTTTAAACAAGATGTATTGATTTCAGGGAACTCTTCGGTAGCACCTGAACCACCAAATTCAGAAAAGAGTGGATTCGTTAGAAACTCTAGTATTCGAGTTTCTGATTCAAGGACCTACAGAAATAAACGAGAAACCAAATTATCTCCCTCTGAAGGTCCTAGACAGTTAATCACAAATTTGGGTAAGATATCGCCGACAGTGTTACTTTATATTCATAGTGCATCAAGCTTATTGTGATTGAAATAGTTAAATTGAGTCACACAGAGACGTTGGCATTAGTCTATGATAATCTTAAAAGACTGTCAACCTCAATTCAAAATAAATAATGTATTAAAATTTACATTGAAAAAATACATCACCCTACTCTCAATGAACATGAGATCAAAGGCCAAATTCATGGTATCCCATTGGCAAGATACCAATGAGTTGATAGAAAGTAGCAAAATTTTTGGGAGTTAAATGAATCTCCCATCTCATGGCTCTGCCAATATTTTATTCGAAACTTTTAAAAAAGTTTACTAATATTGATTAATTTATATAAAATGCAAACTTATTGAAATGCGAAAATTAAAATTGGCGATCACCTGCGCTTTATTTTGTTAGCGTGCATTTCCCATCCTGAGAAAAGAAAGCGGTTATTGATTTCTCTTCACACCGATAATAGTTCAATCATGTGATCATCTTTTTTTGATTGAGCCTTAGAATTTTCACAATTTTTATCATTATTGATCGAAATTTAATGAGAGCATTACAGTGATTTTAGAATCGTTGAATGAGGATTTTAGAAAGTTGATGATTTTTGGCCTCACCGGGAGTTGATTTGATGAAACGGGACATGTAGTTCAAAGCCCATACCTTTGAATCTAGCCTTTCTATTTCTCTAACATCTTGAACGTCTGCGTTCAATGATCGGCATGTTTTTATGTGCAGTATTTAGATACAGCTGATCAGTGGTGCAAAATAAAATATTTTCCGTATTCAATTTTTATTAATTTCACCCTCGAACTTTCTGCGATAGAGGTAATTGACACAATTATGCTTAGCTCGGCAATTACCAGTTATTTACGATAGCTCATTTGTAAAAATTACCGATTTTACAACTTGAGAAGCCTTATTGCTTTCCCACTGGAAATATCTATCAAATTAGCTAATAAAGCTTATATTTTAACTCGAAAGAGCCTATCCATGATTCATAAATTATGGATGATCGTGTATCCCAATCCTTACTTTCGGACTCTAAACGCTTTTACCTTTGTAGAAAATTTAACATTTTTTTTCTCATTTGATAAGGTTTACACAAACAAGAGTAGCAATAGTGCAATAGCTTTTCATTTTTATCTCGAAGAATCACGTGATGTAAGAGAGAGAGAGATTCCTCACTTCTTGAAGAAAAAAAATAACTGGAGTGTGAGACCAGGGCGTGTGAGTAAAATACACACTCGCCTACCTGCTCACGACCGGTGCAGTGACGGAGAAATGCAAATTTGATCGCATTGTGTGCTCTCTGTTGATGAGCTGCTTGACCTTACTACAAGAGAACGTTGAATGTGAATTATAAAAATTAACCCTAGTGCTTGACTCAATCTATCAATATTTGTCACGTGTTGTCCATAAGGGTTGTCTTTTATCCCCTCCCTATAAAGTGGACCGTATTTAAAATTATTTGTTTTACAGTAATCAGTTTAATGCACAGCCAAGATTTTTAGCGGAGCTTCCTTCTTTGATTTCATTTACGAACAATTATGTTTTTTGCTAATACTAGCTCATTTTTAACTCATTATCTATGATTCTTCTACGTTTTTTCATGCCCTTATTTTCTTGGAATCTAAAGGGAAAACTCCATATACTTTTATTGAATGCACATATTCATTTCGGATTATAGCGTATTATACTTCAAAAGAAAAGCTCTTTATGTATGCAGAAGAGAAATTAGTAGTGCTAGCCCTATTTTTAAGAAAAAAGTTCGGTCATTTTTCACTTTTGAACATATAAAAAACTAAAATATCATATAAAACGGTTAGCTAAATAGCTGTCAATTTGATAAAATGAGTTTAATTGATTATTTCAGTTCATAAAAATAGGTTCGTGTTGTTGCAGCTTACTTGAAAGACTTAAAATGTTTTGGGCTCAAATGTTGTAGGCGTTTGATTTGATTAAGGTCTTAGTGCCGTTAGATGGAGCATTGACAGAACCATTTTTTCCCAATTATAGCTTGGTTTAGTTTTATAATTGTGATTACTTGCTTCGTAAGTTCATTTCGATTTGTTGGCAAAATTAAACGGCTAACTAGCATGTCTATTAAGTTAGAAATCATAGTATTATTTCTTATCTCTGTATTTTCATACTTATTAGCACATGAGGTGGGTGGATCAGAGTTTTGTTGACAGATTTTATATGGCTAAAGATGAATTTCCTCTACCTGAACAATACAGTTAACTGATTTCTTCGTGAATCCCTTGATCGTAAATTTTTCAGTGTGGACAGTACTGTACTGCTCAATTTTTAATGCTTAAGATTGCGTAATTGGTAAAACTTGGAACCTCCAGTTGGTACAATTCAGATTTAGATGTGCGATACTGAGTGATTGAAAGAGTCTCCTTCTTATTTGCCATCATTTAACTTCGACAAATCCTTGTGCTTTGGGTTTGTATTTCCTTAGTTTTCAAGAGCAAATGTACTCTTGACTTAATCTTGATCCACAATCTTCTTGAATAGTAAAAGAACTTTCTTCCCTTGTATTTATTTAAAATCCACGAGTAGTATCCTACAATTTTCAAAACTGTCAGATTCATCAGATTGTTTTGACTGTAGGAAAACAAACAGATTGAAAAGGATATTCATTTCTCTTACTCATGCATTGACGATTTTATTTTTTGGGACTGCCGATTATCAAAGGTCGTTACAGCGCTATTCATGAGTGCATCACTTTCAATTAATTCCTTGGAAGTATGCTCTAATACTTCAGTTCTTACCTTATTTCTGACTTTATATGTGTTTGGACATTTTGGCCACTTCTGTTCAAAAACAAATGAGATTGTGCGCTTTGCTCGCCCTTGAATTTGATACGACAGCTTAATTTAGTTCTACAAACCTGATTTAATAGTTCAGGTACTTGTTTTATGCTGCACTTAATTTATGCAGCATAATTAATTTACTTTATGAGTATCAGCAATATGGTATCTGTAGTTATACCATATCCCGTGACAGGAAATTTACTTTTTGATACCGCAAGAAAGCAATTAAACCGATTAACTGTAAATTTCGATGGATTTGGAAGGAAGATTGAGAAATTACGTCCAGACCTCAAAACATGCGAAACTAACTTCGAATTAATTTTGAAAATAGGCTGCACACGAGCTAATTACAGAGTAGCTTATTAGTTTGGTTTCCAAAAGATAAATTTTTAAAGCTGACAACTGGTTTATCGAGCATATTCCTGTCCACTATATGTTCTGCGCCTGTAAAATCTACCGGTTAAATTGGACAAATCGACTCATTATTTTCTCCTTCAAAGACTGGGAAATCAGATGAGTAAACTGCTCACAAGATTTTAAGTAAACGGTGATCTACAAGTTAATATTTTTACACAGTTATCGTTATGCATTATCAATTTTGAGGACTAATTTAGATGAATTCTTTTGTATGAAATCAAATAGATGCACTATTAAACTTTACAACATAAAAAACATCCCTCAATTTCTAAATTGATTTTCACCGTTGCGTGTTTCGAAAGTTGATTGACAATGCGTGATGGGAGAAGGAGTAAACAACTTCTTTTCACAATGAAAAATTTTTTTAGTGTTCTAACTTGCCTTTACCTTGTAATTGAGTGTTTTTTCTTCTCTGCCAATTACTAAGCGGTCTCGTTTTAATTCCAAAGCCTGGTTTGGAATTAATAGGTGATATATCGTTACCGAAGGGACCAAGAGAAGGTTTCATCTTAGTTACAGCATTAATTATTACTATTATCATATAAGTAGTAGGTTGTTTGAACTCCTAAGACTAAGTGTATGAAACCAGAATTCGAATCTTTACGATATGGTAGTCAGAGTCTTAATTTTGCTAAGAGATGTTAATATACCTAAATCGCTAACTTTTTAGCAGTATTGTTGTGTTTTTTTGGGTTTCCTAGGTGATGAAAGAAAAAACTGTGGCATTATTAGCAATAACAGGGGAAAATAATGTTGAAAGGATATACGAACTTACGTAGGTTGAGAACTTGTAGAAAATATTTTACCTATTTGACGCAAAATTTAGTCTTAGATATCGTAATATTTTACACTCTTCAAGTTGACACAACAACTAATACATTTCTTCAGACTCTAAAGTGTTGCTCATTACCGAACGACCTTAATGGCGATAAAATGAAGGAGTCTGTTGGCAATATCAAACCCCGAGGTAATATTGTGCTTTTTTTATCTGAAGATATGTATCTAACATAGTAGATCATTAAAAAATTTTACCAAAGAAGCTAACGAAACCGTCCAGGGAAGCCTATTTGGTTAGAGTGTCTTGATATTTAAATCAGCACACTTGACAAAATTATTATATGAACTTTTATTTGAAAACGTTTACTTGATGGTGAATATGTCTTGAAGAAGTCAATTTTCGTCTAAATATATTTGATTCTACTCGCTTGAAAGTTATAACTAATGAAATTCATGTATCAAAAGGCCTATTTAATCAAATTGTTATCCCAATTGGACAACTCGACGCAATGTTTAAACACTAAATAAAGGTGGGAATTGCTCTATGAAGACAAAGGTTTCCTTTCGAAAGATGTATTCACATATTGAATTATAGTTTGCCAATCAGATGAATTATTACGGGGTAAAACTACCAAAAATATTAAGAATGAACTTCCATTAGATTGGGGTTCAGACTTGGAAACCCTTACTGAACAAATTCAAATTAAGTATTTTTCCCATTTTTTAATTCTTTTCATGTCAACGCAGTAAAATTTGCATTTGTAACTGGGTTTAAATTTTTTATCTTTTTTTTCACTAATTCTAAAAAAGTTAACAGTTAGAAATCGCTCTATAATTTCCCAGAGTGATTAATATACATTTAACTGCAATAAAATAAGGCATAAAAAATTCACCCAGACGCCAGTTTTCAATCAATTTAAAAGCGGCTTAATTATGAAGGCTCACACATATTCTCCCAATCAGAAAGGCTTATTATTAACACAATTTTATACGATATTTAATGTTTAGAAGCCGGAAAGAAGGAAGAAGCCCCAAAGCCAACATTCCAGACTGTTTCAAATAGTGAACATATGGAAGGATCTTCAGACATTGATGATGACAATCCGCCATATAAGCGATCATTTCATGAAGAGATAATTTCAACTCCTTCTAAAGTAGAAATGCTATCGACTTCAAGACGAAATGATGGCATAGACAAGGATTTATCAAGGTCTACCACTCCAATTGGAGAAAAAGAGCTTCCAATTAGAGACTCTATATCTGGTGAAAGTGAGAGTGAGGCGGAGGAACGGGAGGTTAGTAAAAAAATTGAGGTGGGTAAAGAAGAATATCAGAGCGAATCGGAAAGCGAGTCAGTTACTGAATCTCTTGGAGGTAGTGCTGATTCAGCTCGTGGCGATAGCATTTTGCCAACGGTGGATGATAGTTCATACTCGCAGCCAAAGAAGAATCCACGATTTGTGCTCATGGATCCGCAGGAAGGCTCCACGAAAGGTAAGGCACAAATTGATTCTCTACCTCGAGAAATACTTCATTATCCCCTATTACTAGAAAACAGTTAAGTTACCTTTTCTTTGAATTCTAGTGTTTTAGGGAGTATGATCTTTAAGTATTTAAGACAATTACTCCATTATCTTGTTGATTATTTAGAGGTAAAATGTAAAATTTAGATAGTCGTTAGTCACAAAATTTTATTTTAAATGTTGAATTTTCGGAAAAGATTTTCGTTAGTTGTACTTAATTTTAACAAAGTTACCTTCAATTTTATTAACTCAATCTTAAATAGTATAGACACAAGAGTTAAACCTCTATGCTTAAAATGCTTTTTACAACACTACCGTTAATGATGCAAATCATTCTCTCGTTTCAAAAATCAATTTTGTTCACATAACTTATAAATTTTAATCATCTTCTTACCAAAAACGAAATCCTAATTTCTGAAGAATTTCGTCAGTCCTTAGCATAGCATTTTGTATGACAAGGAACGGAGAAATAATAACTTTAAATTGCATCTCGTATATAAAATGATATATTTTGCCACCTAAGATTTTACTGTTTTATAACTAATTATTAAAGGGAGGTCCTATCTGCCTAGTTTATTAAAGTCTTGGCTCAACAGCCACAATATAGGAAACCTTCCGTGCCATTAAAATAATGCTATCTGCACCATTTGGCTCTGTAAAGGTAAAGATATCTCTACCGAGAAATTGGTATTCTACTATATCTCCTGTTGGGTAAAATTTACCGGTAAGTTTGGTGGTAAATATGTCAGGATAAATATTGATGGGAATTGATATTATGACCTCAAACTTATCAGACCTACACGCTGATCACTATGTCACCTCACTAACTAGCCTCCTAGATCCAGAGCTGAGTAGGTCTCGGATTTCATGATACCATCTGCAGACTTACAGTTGGCAGTTTTGTTATGTAAAATACTTACTCCGAGACTTGCCAATGTGAATTATTGTTTTAGATTGGCCGAAGTAGAAATGATGGTAAGATAATTAGACAACTCAGTCTCCGAATTCCCTGTTTGATTCCTGATAATTAATTGACATCTCGTCAGTCTGTGCCTCATATGTTAAAACCTAATATCAATAGGAACAAGATTCCAAACACCAAATATACTTTTGGTGTTGTGTACTTTTAATTATCGAATTCACTCTTGTGCCTCTTTAAATGGTATGTTAGGTGGCTACGAGATTTATCTCTATGGCGTCGATCTCGATGAAAAGGTGATGCTTTATGCCCAAGTGTTTGTTGATGTCTATGCAGTATCATCGACAGATTGGCGAATCGTACCCGGTAAATGGCCGACTCTGTCACCTGATGCTACACATTGCCTCCAAATTCGCGTCCCTGAAATGCCGCCTGGTGAAGCGTGGATTGAGTTAGAAACGATGAGTGATGGCCGTATTCAATGTCCTCGACCTTTCATCTTCAGTGATAAGATCTCTTCGATTAAATATTCTATGCGTGGAATGGGTGTCTTGGAGCAAGGTAGTATTCAACAACCGGCATCTTCCTTTGCAGACTTTGAGTTAACTCCAAAGATGAAAGATAAAGTAACCAATGATATGCTTTTGACGACTGGTAAGTTGTAAAATGATTTCTAGCTTCTAAATCCCTAAAATTAAATAAGTGCATTTTCTGTCACTTCACTGGTGGAATTATGGAATGAGTGCTATTGACTGGAAAAGTCTTAATGTAATTCCGTCTGGTTAAACCTTACTTCGATAATTTTATCTAATTTACTTTAGTAGGAATATTTGCTTTTTGACTGGACGACAATCGCTATTCTGTTATTGTCTTTGTTCATGATGTGTATGCCTAATTTCCTCTCACAAGTAACATACTACTTAAGTTGCTTAGAAACTTCCAAAATTTGAACGATTACACCGCTAGGAATCTTGTGGGAAAAATTACTCACTTTGACATTTTAAAAATCAATGGATTATGTTTATTTTTTAAATTTTTACTATACCGTATTTGTGTTTGTGTGAAAGAAATTCCGCTTTTATTTCATGAATTTCAATTAAATGCAATGAACTTCGGTTTAACAGGCTCTTCTTTCAAATAAATTGACCTACTAGTGGATTACGTATAGACTAGCCGGCTTAAAGGCCTATATTGTTGCCGGATAAATGGAATGAATTAACAGTAGTTCATTAGTTGTCTTCTGGCTTCCCAGTGTCTTTTAGTTTCCGTCGTTATTTTTAGGGTTGGACACCGATTCAGGTGCGTCTTCTCCATTTCCTCCTGTAGGTTACTTAGGGGGCAAGTGGGTTGAACATATACTCCTATTCTGTGAAGGTTCTTCGCCAGGCAATCGTGTCCATTCCGTAGTCTATACTCAGTAACGGCTGTTTTTGGTGATTCTCTGCTTGCAATTGAGTTTATTGTTGACTGTGAGTCCGAAAGAATTACTGCTTTGGTGAATTTCGTATCCAGACAACGTGATTGGCTTAGTGCTATCCTAATGGTCTCTATTTCTCCTTTGAAAGTGGATCTATTGTGCCCCGCTGCTGTGAAGAAAGAGAATAGTTCAGAATGGACACCTGCACCAATTTTTGCTTGGTTTTCTTTGTATGACCCAACAGTGAAGACTTGGAGATATTGATCTGCAGAATAATTGGCATTATCTCAAAGGCCAATGAACGTATTTGTTCTAGAGGGATAATTACTTTCCTGAATTGGTCAAACAGTTAGGTGAAACATTGTACATCAGTGCATAACTTAGGGCACTTTCTGTCCTCTCCTGAGCGTTTTCTTAGGGGCGGAATACCATAGAACAAGATCATCTGCATAAAGTAAGCACTTAACGCCGTGACTGTCTGTACTAATTCGGCTATGTCATTGATGAAGACATTGAAAAGAGTGCAGATTGTGGCAGCTCCCTGTGGAAGGCCTGTTTGCAAACGATTGGATTTTGATAGAGCATTTCCGTATCTGACTTTACACGATCTTTGTCCAATGAATGCTTTTATCCAGTTTAGCATGTTATGCTTAATACCAATCTTTGCCAATTTTAGAATTAGCTTCTCCTTCCATACTAAGTCAAATGCTGATTNAATGGTCTCTATTTCTCCTTTGAAAGTGGATCTATTGTGCCCCGCTGCTGTGAAGAAAGAGAATAGTTCAGAATGGACACCTGCACCAATTTTTGCTTGGTTTTCTTTGTATGACCCAACAGTGAAGACTTGGAGATATTGATCTGCAGAATAATTGGCATTATCTCAAAGGCCAATGAACGTATTTGTTCTAGAGGGATAATTACTTTCCTGAATTGGTCAAACAGTTAGGTGAAACATTGTACATCAGTGCATAACTTAGGGCACTTTCTGTCCTCTCCTGAGCGTTTTCTTAGGGGGTTGAATACCATAGAACAAGATCATCTGCATAAAGTAAGCACTAATGCCCGTGACTGCCTGTACCAATTCGGCTATGTCATTGATAAAGACATTGAAAAGAGTGCCTTGTGACTATCCCTGTGGAAGACCTGTTTGCAAAATGAAGATTTTTTTAATGAAAATAAATAGTGACATAAAGCATTTGAATTTTACTTTGATATCAAATAAAATATGAGCACTGGATGATAAAGTCACCGTAAAATTAATGAAATCTAACTGAGTATCTATTTAGAAAGTTTGTGCTTGGTTCATTTCACTATATTGCTAGTCAAATTTCATCAAAAATTTGAATTTATAAATTTTTTGTGAATAATTGAGTAAAAAATATTAATCTTCCAAGCCAATTATATGTTATATTATTATCGTCAATATTCAACCATCAATTGCTATTCGATAAAACTATTTATAGGCAAACAAAAATGCTTATTTTATTAATCTATTTTCAATAATTAGTGACATAAAGACTATGATGAATTGTATTTCAAAGTTTTATCAAATCAACACCAATTCTCAACGAAAACTTGTGGATTCGTTAAGCGCACAAATTAAATTATCCAGTTTATTACTAGGTTGGCAACTAAGTCATTGCTGTTTTCAAATAAGAAGGCAAATTCGGAGTTTTTGTTTAAAAATATAACTTTATTCAATTAGATATTGGTCGTTCTTGTCAATGACCTTTTTCCGTCGTTCTGGCAGAGTAAAAATTCCCCGTTCTTAAAATGTCTGGTCTTTGCTATTAAAAAACTGAATTAGGTGTGATCCGACATCATCAGCGTTGCTAAAAATTTTACCATTTAAAGATTTTTGCATGGAACGAAAAAAATGGTAATCCGAAGGCGCAAGGTCAGGGCTATATGGTGCGTGTGACAAAACATCCCAGCCCAGTTCCAATAATTTTTGCCTAGTAACCAAAGATGTTGGGGCCTTGCGTTATCATGATGGAAAACAACACCCTTCCGATTTGATAATGCCGGCCGCTTATCTTCAATCGCATCTTTCAGTTTTTCGAGTTGTTCAACATACACATTTGAATTTATCGTTTGGTTCTGCGGCATGAGTTCAAAATACAAAATTCCTTTGTGATCCCACCAGACTGACAACATAATCTTTTTTTGGTGAATCTCTGATTTTGATACCGTTTGGGCTGGTTGATCTTGCTTCACCCATGATCTCTTGCGAGTAACATTGTTATAAACTATCCACTTTTCGTCGCCAATAACTAGGTTCTTCAGAATTAGATCATTCTCATTGCGTTTCAGTAGCGGCGAATCNTGAAATGAGTGAATACATCCGTAAAAGTATTTCTTGCATCAAGGACATCTTTGATGTGTTGGGAGAAGAGGCTACTTGTTGGTTTGTTGATCTTTGTGGCCTAAAAAATGTTTGTTCGTTTTCAGGAATATTGTTGGTCTCAAGGTACCAGGTCA